AAAATAGTTTAAATCATGTAAAGAATATATCTTATTAAGCAAAAAGCCAGAACTACAAATATAAAATATAAAGATAGAAGATAATATCTAAATTAACTTCAGTTAAAATACTAACTAAAAGAATTATTAAAAAATAATTACTATCAGTAATTAACAAAATAGAACTATATAACATATCAGAAGATTTACTTAATATAAAAGTATAGATAACTCTTACTCAAGCTTTATAATATACTAATTAAAGATGAAATTTAGCAAAAATTTTAAGAAAAAAAACTTTTAAATATCAAAGCTAATTGATTAAAAACAAATAATAACTGAAAAACTGTAGCTATAAGATGTTATATTACTATTTTAAATTCTGAAGCTATAGTAAGTATTATTACAAACTAGCTAATGAAGAAATTAGGTATTATACTGATCCAATAATCTAAAACTATAGTTGTTACTGCTAATAGTAAAAGAACTAAAGCTCTAAGAATAATAAAAATATTAAGATTATCATATAAGATATTATTATACTAATAAATCTCCAAGTTATAGAATCTACAGATAAAATTTTGTTCTTAGGAACAGATTGGTTTAACAAGTCTTATGCTAAATTAGATTTCAGAAAACATATTTTATATATATAATATCAGAAGAAACAAGTTATTATTAATACTACTCATACTCAAACAATTTCTATACTAATTATAAAAATTAATAAAGATGATAATAATTAGTAGATTAATAAATTAGAAGATGAATTAGATAAAACTGAAACTATCTTATCAGATGAATTAATTTATAAACAAGATAGAAATATATTTTTTAATCTATAGAAAAATGAGAATAGAATAAACTTTGCAACTTATTTAGCAAAAGTATCTATAGCTATAGAAGATAGTTTAGAACTAAAATTTAATTTTAGTCAAGAACTTACTAATAGCCAAAAAGATAATGCTAAAGAATTATTAAAAAAAATTAAGATATATTCAACAAAAATATATCTGATAAAAGACAAACTATAGTATTAGAATATACTAATAAGACTACCTATTATATCAATACTGATAATACTAAGCTAATTAAATAAAAATCCTATTAAATATCTAATAAAGATTAAGAATTTGTCTAAAAGAAAATAAAAAAAATAGAAGAATAAAAAATAATTTGAATAGCTAAAAGACTATAAAGTTCACTAATAGTTATAGTTTCAAAAAAGAATAATAAAAAATAAATTTGTATTAAATATCAAAAGCAAAATTTAGTAACTGAAAAAGATATATATTTACTTCCTAATATTAATAAGATATTTAATAGTTTCAGTTAAGCAAAGTAGTTTTTAAATTTAGATTTAGCTAGTAGATATTAGTAAATAACTATAGCAAAAAAAATAAAAAGAAAATAGTATTTATATATATTATTTTTAATTACTAGATTAATAACCTTTTTTGAAAGCTTAGATAGTTGTATATACAAAACTCTAAGTCTTCTCAATATATAATTATAAGACTTATTATTTTTAGTTAATAGCAAATGATTAAATATAACTTGTTGAATTAGTATAGTAGCTATATTATCTATAGAACTTGAAAGTTAAATAGGCTTAATTTGATTAAAGAGATCATTTTCTGAAATATTTAGATTTTTATACTAAGGTAAAGAAATAAAATTATTATAGAATATTGCTAAGCTTAAGTAAGTTCTATCTTAAAAAAAATGCTAGCAAATAATTCTTTTATTAATTAGTATCCTATATATATAAAAATATGTACTATAATTAAGTAATATAATATAATTTCTGATATCTATTTAATATATTAAAATTATTTTTTTACTAGAAATATTTTTAATTAAAGAAATAAACAGAATCTGAGAAATATTATATTCTGTTTCTCTATTCTCAGTATCTAATTTCTTATAATTATCATAATACTTATATTTTAATAAAATATTATGCTATTATATAATAAGAAAAATATTATAATATAATGATTTATTCATCTGGCTTTTCTGTTTTCTATAAATAATTAGATTAAGATAAACTTCTATAATATTATTAACTTGGTTAAAAAATTGTATAAGGATGATATATAAACTCATTCTCAGTATAGCATTTCTTTGAACTTCAAAACTTTTAAATAACTCTTCATAATCAATTTAATTATTTATAGCATATAGTAGATTATTTAATTTTTTTTTTTTTAACTTAGGTGACCTTACTCTTAGTTTATTAGTGAAAGATTTATAAAGAAATTATAATACAAAAATAAAAAAAAACTAATATTCTAAACTGCTAATGTATCCCAACCTTGCAACCTTAGCTTGCTTTGTACTACCTAAATGTAATTTACTGCAAAAAATATTTATTTCTCTAAAAGGTGTCCTACCTAAGTAAGGTAGTTCCTTCAGATTAACAATAGATTCTTTTATGCCTTATCAAAGTCCTAGGTTACTTTAATCTAATTGAAACTAAATTACAAACTATTAATATCTAGTCCAAGTTAAAAATAAAAATTGTTGTATATAATAAAACATAACTAATTATATAAACTAAGCTTATAAGAGAAAAATCTACTACCAGATTAAAAAACCCTTACAAGTAAAAAATAAAGAAAAATGAAAAAGAAACAAATACTCTAATTAACATAAAGAAAAAAAGAGTATGACAAAATATAAAAATATTATACTATACAAAAACAAGAATGCATATCTCTAGTAATAAACTTCTCTAGAAGTTAAATCCTAATTGGATTATCTACATGATAGTAATGTACATATTTGTTGTCTTGTCTAAGTTGTATATCAACAGATGACTTGTCAAATTAGAAAGTGATACAAACTTGCAGATCTTTTGTCAAAGGTTCACCAAATATCTCATATTTTTATTTTTCAGTATAGAGAAATCCAAAGATCTAGAGGAAAACAGTAGTAGTACCAAAAAAATTTAAGGAGAATATATATTTTCCAAAATCTACTATCTACTTGTATTTATCTAGAGTATAACTAATACTTATCTTCTGTGAGTAAGTAATAAACTCTAAACTTGTTAGCAAGTAGCATATGAGAACTATTTCTAAACAACAAGTGCTGCTATGATATTGCAGTAAGTGATAAACTCTAAACCTGTTAGCAGATAGCATATAAAAACTATCTCTAAATAACAGGTGCTATCTTATGCTTCTCTGAATTGTTGCTCTTATGTTTCTACAAAGTTTATTGTATATTTTAAAAAAATAAGTTGGAAATTTTTGATATGAGAAATCATCAGAAAGAGTTAAACAAAACTCAGTAGATTATTTAATAATATTATATGATTTACTTTATTATAAATAACATTGTTGATCAACTTTATTCACTGAATACTTTGTATCTCTGTAAAATATTTACTAATCTATGCTATTACTTATTATTCTTTATTCTTGTATAAGACTTCAGTTATATATTTCTTAACACTAAAAAATTTCTCAATTAATAATAATTATTATATTTCAAACAGTAATTTGAAAGCATGTTTGAAATCTGTGACAGGATATGTCTATCACTAAATCGAAAGAAGCATAAAGATCAGAATTAGTGCAAACTTTAATTTACTTAATATTTGATATTTAAATATACTTATAGACTAAAATTTCATGCTGAAAACTTTTATTTAAAAGTCAAACTGTAGTTATCATAGTAAAAACTTGTGTTATTTGTGATTTTTCTGTTTCCTCGAATTTTTTAAGTTATACATGATCTTGTGATTTTATTGGCTACATTCAGTAATGATCGACATAACCTGTCACAGATTTCAACATGCAATTTGAAAAGACTATTGTAATCAGTGTTGGCTTGACTAGACTAGTTTGACCATTTGACCAGACCAATTTGACCAATTTGACCAGTCAAGTCAAAGGATTTGTGCTAGTCAAATTGGTCAAATGATTATTATAAAATAAAATATTATATTTAAAATAGACTTGACCAATTTGACTAGTTTGACTAGTTTGACCAATTTGACCAATTCGACCAGACCAATTTGGCCAGCAAATTTTTGGTCGACCACTAATTTGCCCAACACTGATTGTAATATATATAAAATTGTTTATGAAAATTCTCAAACTATTGCTTCAATTTGCTTTTTAATTTCTTTTACAAATTTAGATCAATATAAAATATATATAAAAAATAATAGTTTCTAGAAAGACTTGCTTAATAGCATCTAACATAGCTAAATCTGAGTTAGTAAAAATAGATTTTAGATAAACCCTAGTTTTCTAAAATAAAATATCTAAAATCTAACTAAAAAACTCTTGAGTTTTATCCTTATGAAGTGCAGTAGCAACAATATGTAATTTATAATTACTATTGATAACAATAATTATACATAAGATTAGATGAAAATAATTAGTATTAGAAGTAATATTCATAATAACTATATCATTATATTGTAAATACAGATCTAATTGTAAATGTGATATCTACATAATTGAAATTAAATATCTTGAAATATTATTAATACAAGGTTTGATAACCTATTTTGAATCATCTTTTTTCTATTGTAATAACAATTGCAATATTTGTAATGCATTAAAATTATCTAAATTATTCTCTTAACAAAATTTATATACAGAATTATATAACTCTTACTTATTTATAGTATGTTCAGGATAATTATAACTGAGTAAAGGAAATATTGAAGATGAATCTATCTGAGCTATAATTGCATATTTCTTAATATTAACAAGCATTTCAAGAATGAATTTGTGAAATTGAGATGCCATTTTTTTAATCATAGGATTTATAGAATGATTATGTACATTATTAAAAGAAGTAACTTTAATAACAGAACTAGATTTGGGAAATAAAAAATTAATTCACCAAGAACATTCTATTCTTTGAGATGATATATGACATTGCTTCATAGGATTGACAGTTACTTGTGCATTGTATTTTCCAGATTTGGAACATTCATATGTAAGTTGTCTAATAATACAATTTTCAGATTTGTTTTTCCTGGTTTTATAACTGAATCATTGTTGAAGACCAAATGCATTAATCCATTGTTTTACACGCTCCCAATTGTTAAATGATAATTCAACATAAATTACTGAATTTTGTGTATCCTCATCTTCTAGTTGTTCCTCATGCTCATTTTCCTGATCAAATAACAGATTATTAGGTAGGCTAGTATCTAGATCCAATAGCAGGTTATCAGCAAGATTTATATCTCGATCTGCCAGCAGGTTATCAAAAAGGTTAGTATCAGTTCTGACAGAAGGTTGTCTTGAAAGCTAATATCGTGATTCGAAAACAAAATGTTTAGAAAATTTGAATCTTGATCTGATAACAGATAGTCTTGAAAGTCAGTATCATGATCCAAAAGAAAATTGTCTTGAAAGTTGGTATTTTGATGATTAGACAGCGAGTTATTTTGAATATTAATGCTCATTTTGTTTAAGAAACAAGATTTATATTACAAGTGACGAAGAACCTTTATATAATTCAAAGCATAACAAAAGAGTTATATAGTTGAGAAAACATTGCAAGCGACAAATCTTTAGATTATTTCAATAAGTCATGTGAAAATAACTACGTAACAAACGACAAACATCTAAAGGATATCGATATTATGGTTTGATTCATGTAACGAATGTAAATTGTATATTGTAGTTAAAATATTTGTTATATCGTGTAACTGGGTATCGACCCGATAGATAAAAAATTTGTTATTTCGTGTAACCGGGTATCGAACCCTATGGGTAAATTTAGTTTTTTTTAAAAAAAAAATAGTTGTGACAATTTTAAAAATGATATGATAATATAGTATCTGTTCTTATAAAAATCTAATTCAATTAAATTTTAAAAATTAATTATCAAAATTATTATAAAAATTTACAATAAGCATCTGCAATAATTAATGAATCAATGTAAAATATCTATTTATCTTTAGTACTTTCAATACTTCTATTAGCCTTATCTAATTGCTGTTCCTCAACTACATAATCTCTTAAAAATAGTTCAAAATCATTGATTTTTCTCTCTAATCGTTCAACAGGATTATCATTAATATCGATGGATGATTCCGGATGTTGAACTAAAGGATATGTGGATAAGAATTTAGCTAACTTTTCTTTAGTTTGCTTATGGAAATGACCATGTTTGTGAACTAATCCAAAAGGCCGAACTACATCATCACCTATTTTTAATAAAAATTTAAATCATGATTACATTAATGATAAATTAATAATTGTTAGATGAAACCGTAGAGTTGAAAGTCGAAACTATATATATCAGTAGTTTGATGCTTTTCAATAAGTTTATCAAATAAGATTTTAGTTAATGAAATTCGAGACAGGAAACGAATTTCGCTTTCATTAATATCAGAATCTTTAGGTTTCATCTACTATTGATCTAATATTATAAATGATCGGCTCGTCATTAATAATTCTTATATTAAAGAGGATTTACCGGTTCCAGGTGAAAAACTTTTCATTATTTAAACCTTTTTAATTTAATTCAATTTTGGTTTTTTTAAAAAAAATTTTACCTTCAATTAGGTTTTCAATTCTTTTCTGAAAGTCAATTTCTGATAACATGCGGTTTTGCAACATGTAAGAAAATTTTATATCAACCGAGCTCTACGTATGATGCATATTAGTCTATTTCGATGGTCTTTCTTACTTACTAAATCATTTAAAGCGGACATATACTACTATAATGATCCGGCGTGCAACCAGTTTATTACTGAACCATCTGTGAAAAATGGATCTTATTACTATGGATATTTCTCGATTCCGTTTGAAAATGGATATAAATTAATTTTACCTTTGTCAAATGACACAAAAAAATATGGAAATCGTGGTGGACTACAAATTGGTTTTCAATTTAATATTCTGGATAAAAATACTAGTTCAAGTATTTCCGTTCAAGTTTCTGACTCAGGTATATTTTATAACTATTAATTATTTATAAAAACTAAAATTTCAATATTAATTACAATGTATTTATTATTTGTAGAGAACGTTAACTTGAAAGGGAATATTTCTTCAATATTTTTACAATCAGTTGCACAAGCTAATACCTATCAAATTCGCGTAGGAGAAGTAATGTATCTTAATAATATAAACGAAATAATTTTCCTTTCTTTATTAATTTTAACTAATTTCTAATCTATTTATCAAAAGTCTTCTTACCTTTATTTGGGCCGAAATCTCAGGCAATTTATTATCCAAAACTGGAAATCCATTTTTGGATTTCAACCTGATTATGATATAAAACCTTATTTAACGTCAAGAAAATGTAATTTCGATTTAATTTTAATTTATCAGTAATATCGAATTATACTGTAGAAATATTAATTATTTTATATTATTTTAGATATCGAACGAATGCATTTTAATAGTTTGACGTTTATTATTGCCAAGGCAGATTATGATATAACTACTGTTGAAACAGAACAAAGGTAAATTTAATTATTAGCTAAATTGATTTTTTATTTTATTTTTTGTTTGTTTACCACTGTTTTCATTGATCTTAAAAAAACGGTTTGATTCTAAAGAACGCATACAGTAAGTAATTTTATGTCTTTTAAGTTTATTTATAAATACAAATTAATTTGCTATTCTTATAGGTTTTGAATTCTCTTGGTTTACTTGGTGGTGCATGGTCACTTGCTATTGTTGTCTATAAATTACTTTATGGTATATTTTGTTTTGTTATATTTATTAGATTAATGGTAAATGAAACCTAAAGTTTCTGATATTAATGAAAGCGAAATTCGTTTCCTGTCTCGACTTTAATTAACTAAAATCTTATTTGAAAAACTTATTGAAAAGCATCAACTACTGATATATTGTTTCGACTTACAACTCTACGGTTTCATCTAACAATTATTAATTTATCATTAATGTAATCATGATTTAAATTTTTATTAAAAATAGGTGATGATGTAGTTCGGCCTTTTGGATTAGTTCACAAACATGGTCATTTCCATAAGCAAACTAAAGAAAAGTTAGCTAAATTCTTATCCACATATCCTTTAGTTCAACATCCGGAATCATCCATCGATATTAATGATAATCCTGTTGAACGATTAGAGAGAAAAATCAATGATTTTGAACTATTTTTAAGAGATTATGTAGTTGAGGCACAGCAATTAGATAAGGCTAATAGAAGTATTGAAAGTACTAAAGATAAATAGATAATTTACATTGATACATTAATTATTGCAGATGTTTATTATAAATTTTTATAATAATTATGATAATTAATTTTTAAAATTTAATTGAATTAGATTTTTAAAAGAACAGATACTATATTATATCATACCATTTTTAATATTTTCACAACAATTTTTTTTACTTTTTAAAAATATATTTCTATAAATGCTTATGGAAGTTTTTTGTTCGAAATTCTACAAATTATTCAATCTAAATTAAAAAATTCATCGAATTTTTTTGTTAGATGATTGTTAAAATTCTTTTGATTAAAGTTTTAAAAAGTTATTGTCACAATTCTTTTTTGTTACTGCAGTTTTTGGTCTTGTTGGAGTTTAAAATTGTACATGTCTTATAATGTCCTCATAAGAGGTGCGATTAAGAATTATGAAGTAATTATAATAGGATCAGAATGCGATATTTATTATAAAGATCATTCTCTTACAAAGGAAATTCATTCCTTTTTTATAATTTTTGCAAGTGTTTAAAGTGTTAAAAGGAATTATAATGCTAAAAGTGCAAATACATTTACAACACTAGTGTTAAAGAGTGAAATAGTGATGCCAGAAAAATTTGGCGGTCCCGTGATTTTTATTCATAAGATCAGTGCGTAACATACAAAATGAGAAGTAAAATAAAATAAAATAAAGGCAAAAAAAAAAAAAAAAACAAAAATCACAAAAAAACCATAAATCTGCAAAGACAATTAGTCTTTTGTTATTAAGAAATTTTCAGCACAAAAATTTAGACGAAATTAGGTTATCATTGCTGTTTAATAGTCACGGGACCGCCAAATTTTTGTGCCATCACTATTTCATTCAGTGTTAAAAGTGCATAGTATAATGTATGTATGGTTATATGAAGTGTGAAGTATCAGTACAATGTTCAGGTGGGGAAAGCAGCACACAGAGCATTATTATTGCTCGATCAGAGACTTATCTTTATTACTAATTAAATAAAAAAATATATGGCGATAGGTACGCTATCTCAAGGTAATACTGTACCTTACAATCAGACTAAGAAAATACGTAACCACAAGCTCACTAAACTGGTCATACACTATAGAAAATCTAAACGTATCTATAATTCTAAGGTACTACTGTACTATATAATCAGACTAAAAAAATACGTAATCACAAGCTCGCTACCCTGGTTATACACTACAGACAATCTAAACGTGTATGTCCATAAACCCTTTATAGCAAAAAGAGAATCGGATAATTGCACAAAAGAGATTAACTTTCGAATGCCCTAACCATTGACATGGGTAAAAAATGACAAGTCAGTCACTTGATTCAAAATCCTCACGTAATGTCAAAGAACGGGTGGACTTTCTCTATTTAAGGCATGGGATAGGATTTAGCGAGTAATTTATTAAGGTGATTTTATTCAGAGACTTATTTTTTATCAATTATTTATGGACTTTTGGAATCTTTCGGCCTTACTATTATTTTTCGGGCGTTAGAAAGATATTTTTCTTTATTAAATTTTCTTGTCTTTTTATATTTACATTTCGTACTAATGTTACTATTGTAAATTGGGAGAGTGATTAATAAAGTCCAGTTCAGCTCCAATAGTTAACGTGGTATGGTTATAATGTCTGATTATTAGTAAATGGGCAAACTATAATGATAGGGTTCTATAAACTATATATATGGATCGTATAACAATAAACTAATTACTTAAAAGTGATCCAAACGTTGATCACAACATCAATACAAGATGAACTCGGTCTGTGTTAGTACATTAGATATATTCGATCAGACTATTCTAAATTAGGGGTGAGAATCGATTCTATTTTGAAAATCGATAATCGAATTGCCAGAATCGATTCTAAAATCGATAATCGAATT